ACAGTCGTAATTGTTCTAGCGAGACAAGCTTGCTAACCATGAGTGATTTTCTAAGAGTAGCTTAGATGTGGCACAAGGCCGAAAGTATGGAGCACCCAGTGAGGATCGAACTCACTATTCAGTCGTAATTGTTCTAGAGAGACAAGCTTGCTAACCATTACATCACGTAGAAGTGCCGAGTGATTTTCTAAGAGTAGCTTAGATGTGGCACAAGGCCGAAAGTATGGAGCACCCAGTGAGGATCGAACTCACTATTCAGTCGTAATTGTTCTAGCGAGACAAGCTTGCTAACCATTACATCCCTTGGAAGTGACCACGCCTCGTTCTATATGATTCGTGTTTTTTACTTTAAAAGGGACAATGGATGAAAATGGAGAGACTGTCGCCATTCGAAGTTCCTTTATTTAAAAAGTAAATGATAAAATATCAAAACATATGTGTCCTGTTTATGGCGATGCCGTTTATCGCGGGATGGTGGGGATACTTTTTGTAAGTTATTTGTTAGTTTCTGAAGTAAGAAAAAAATATTGATCTGGAAGATCGTGAGCGTGCCGGCAGGCGTGCAGTCATTGATGGTGACCACATCGAAACGCTGATTAAATAGAATGAAAGTCGCCTGCCACAGGGTTTCGCAAAGGTACAGGCTGAGGCAGAGAGAACGGACGTTTTTGTTAAAATTCACGTCAGTCATTTTATTGACAGCAATGTGTTTGTATTGAATTAGCATTTGACAAAATTAAATAACATCCCTCATTTGTTATCCGTTTTCATCGATGCATTTCTGAAGGCATTCTTGGAAGTTGGCCTCCATTCTTTCCAGCATTGCTTTGTTGATTTGGGCGACTTCCACGTGAATAGCTTCCTTCAAATCGTCCAATGTACGGGCCTTACCCACCTGCTTTGAGGTTTCCCCACAAGAACATATGGACAAATCAGGGGACCGAGGTTGCCAAGGAGTGTCAGCGAACCTGGTCACCGAAGAGTGGGCAAAAAACACCTATTGATGATCTAGCTGTGTGGGCCCACGCCCCATCGTGTTGAAACCCCACACGTTGAACAGGAGTAAATTTTCGTCGTAATTCAGGCACAAGGAAGTTCACAGTATCAGCATTTCCGTTATGGTCTTCAAAAAAGTAAGGACCAATGATGTTAGCATTTTCAATAGTACACCAAACCATCACTTTTGGGTTTACTGTGGTCTTTCGTGCCTTTCTCTCGGATTTTCAAGAGCCCAGTAGCGACAATTCTGTTGATTTACCATGACATTGAGATGAAATTGAACTTCATCACTCATTAACAAAATGAGGTTGTCATTTGCCTCAAAAATTGCTTCCACCTGACGTGCGAATTTAAATCGCTGTGCCTCGTCCCCTGGTCACAACTGTTGCCCGGTGACCAATTCGTAGTGGTGGAAATGCAGTTCTTCATACAAAACACGCCTTGTCGAATGATTATCGATGTAAAAGTTCAGTCTCCCCCCCACCCCCGTGCAGGGCGATTAGGACTTCGCAGTAAAGCTTGTCTAAAGCATTCCATATTTTCTGGAATTTACCGTTCATTGGTTGTACCCAGCGGTCTGATATTTATTAGTGTGAAATATAGTGTCTGAACCCAACATAAGATTATTTTACGATTGGGAACAGCCTGATTTCGTGAATCTTAAATCCGTGGCAGACATGTTATTCTTCACGAAACAGTCATAGGAGAACACGCGATGCTCTGTCGTCCATAGCGCCATGGCGTCAACTGAAAAGAAAAAAAATATGCAAAGACACCACAGACCGAATGGTACCTTTCGGACATATGTCCCCCACCCTTGGGCTGAGTAATAGCCATTTCTAAAACGTCTGTTTTCTCTGCCTCAACTGCATATTTATTATTTGAGCTTTTGTAAGGCACTTGAAAAATCTTGGGTGAGTGATTTAATGGCCTCCATTTCAATTAAAGGCTGTTCAAATAACTTGGGCCGATTTTAAATGTGAATTAAGTTTAAGCGTCTAACGATTTTTTTTTCTTTTTCTTTCAGATCTAACAACTTAAATTTTTGTCAATTTTAACCATGGAAAGATTAACAATCAAATTATGTGTTAAATTTATCAATGCCTATTAGGAAAATGGACGTTCAAACAGAAATACAACGAGAAGTTACCAGGTCGCATCATCTCTCGAAACAGTGATGTCAATTGGTCAGCAGGATTGTGCGACTTGACGCCTTTAGATTTCTTCCTTTGGGGTCATCTCAAAAGTAAGGTCTATGCCAACAACCCAACAACAACAACAACAACGGTGGACGAAGTGAAGGGGTCAGTTCGAAATTCAAGTCTCCTGAAGAAGGCCGGAACGTACAACAAAACGTCGTCGTGGACATAGCAATGAAGACAAGGAAAACAGTCGGAACAATGTAAATAAATACAATATCTCATCTCAGAAATATAGACAGATATCTATCTCAGTCTGTAAAGAACAGTCTAATGAATATTGTTCGTCTGAAGACATTCTATGGAAAAAAGCGATAGTTTCATTTTCTTATGTTTGTTTCTTTGAGTCATTTAATGCCTAAATTTTAATTTTCTTTGGAATTTTGAAGTATTAAAGATATATGAAGCACCATGACTGAGGAGGGAAACTTTATATGCTTCACGACAGGAACCTCCTCGATGTCTTTGCTGATCCACCTGTCGTTTTGCTTGTTGCTCGTCTGGTCGTCGATGAAATTATTTTCATCAGAGAAGAACCTCAGCATCCTGGCGGACCCCTGATTGAGCTCGTTCAACAAAGCCGCCGTCTTGACCTTTCTCGACTCCTTGGAGGCATTCGTGATGAGAATGCGGCGAGACTTGCTGTAGGAGGAGCAAGCAATGTCAACGGCGATCTTGGTGTAGCTCTGGCTTCCATCATTGTCGAATGTCTCCTTGACGGCGGCGACGAACTTGTCGGTCCTAACGGTCGAAGAACGAACGTTGTGGGCCTTTCGTATGGCAGTAAACTCGTCCTTGTTCTCATACGCCTTCCACTTCCTCCAAATGTCCATGACCATAGTCCTCTTGAACCAAAACCAGGCCATCACTTCCGCAGGCTTCTTCCCGGCGCGAAAAGAAGCTACTACCGCTGCTCTGTGCTCATATGATACTCATCTTTTGTACATAAACGTTTGCGCATATATGTTTGTATAGACATAAGTAATAGAGGCGGTGATGGTTGTGTTTTATGCCGTAGTTTTCTTGAAGTTGTATTTTGAAATATAGTTTGATTTAAGAAATTGTAAGATATATATGGATCAATTTCATTAAAAATGTTCAGTGCAGAAAGCACTGGACAGCCGTTTTGTCCTATATTTGTTACTCATCAGCAGTGCGCATCCACTACCGAGAATTGAAACCCTGACAGTTACATTAACAGGCAAACGTCATATCAACTGTACTAACGGGCCTCCGCATTCTGCTGAAGTTTCTTCTAGACTCGATGACTTAATTATCTCAAATCCTCCTTAATTTCTATTATTTGTATATCCTTGCTTGAACCAGCTTCTAATGCTCTGGATGGAACGGCTTGGTGATGGTAGTCGTGGCTCTCGGAGGCACAGGCCTATAGGTAAAGGAAACTTGGATGAGTTCCACCACGGAATATGTGAACGAGCGGCGCAATATCGAGTCTAATTAGTTACTTCTTCGTAAGTGAGAGCCGTTAGTACAGTTGGTATGACGTTTGCCTGTCGCTATAACTGTCCGGGTTTCAATTCTCGGTAGTGGAGGCGCACTGCTGATGAGTCCCAAGTATAGGACGAAACGGCAGTCCAGTGCTTTCTGCATTCTGTTAAGGTTTCTTCTGGACTCGATGAATTATTTAATGTACATACAGGGTGCCCCAAGATTATCTCTTTGCTTTTTTCCTTTTTCTCTTTTTTCCTTTCCCCATATCATTTCCGTTGAGTTGACCGATTAAATAAATCAGTGTCTGATCCTTACCCCCTCCTTCCTCAATATTAAGGTATTATAATAAAAAAAATATAAAAATAAATTTTAAAACTCTCTCTTCCCTCTCTAAACTCGACCATGTCTCTCACACTATAAATAAAACCACCCTCTATGTCAACTTATATAAACTTAATACTGCCCGTCAAAAGTGTAAATTTTAAATTCATTTTTTGTTTCACCTTTTGAAAGTGATGTCTGAAGATCAGGGAAAAATAAAATTCTCTGGTGAAATAAATGGAACCATAAAAGTGGTCTGTTTTTCTTTGAATTAAATTACAATTCCATATATATATATATATATATATATATATATATTATATATATATATATATATATATATATATAATAGATATATAAAATTTGAATAATCATAATTAATTCATCAAGTTTAGAATCTAGAGTCTTGGGGAGAGAAGACGTGACACATGGGGGCACAGTCCGTTGCTATAAGTAGACTGGCAGGAGTCACACGTCGGAATTTGTGAAGAGCTGGCGCTCTGGTTTGTTGCCTCTCCGTCACCAAGACCCGTTGGCCCAGTGAGTGTGACGCTTGCGTGATATCGTAAAGAGAGTGAATGCGCGCTGCTGATGATTCCCCCAAAATAGGACGAAACGACAGTCCAGTGCGTTCTGTTGAGGATTCTTCTAGACTCAAAGAATTAATTATGAAAGTGTTTTTATACCAGGAACAAAGTTAGGGGAAAAACGATGAGAAAGTGGGAAAAGATTTCTTTTCTCTTGATGCGATTACACATGCAAAGGGAGGAGAGGGGACTCTAATAATTTGAAATTTATTTATTTTTGTTTATAAATATATGCTTTAGGGACATAGTGTAACTGACTTCTTGTTAGATCATTTTTTATTATAATGCGGGGTAGTTAATAAGGACGGTAGGAAGAGGAAGAAAAAGAAAAAGAAAAAAAAAAAGAAAATCGGTTAGTCTTATATGCCAAAACACATATATTAAAAAAAAATGATTTAAAAGTAAAATTCTCCAACGTGCGCGTGGGTAGTGGCATAGGCATTAGTCCGGTGAAGTCCTAAAGGTCGAAACGCATTGAACGAAATCTTTTTCCAATTTGTCATAGGTTTTAGGAGAAAAAATATGCTTTTTCATTATCTTAAAAATAGCCCTAAGTCTAATTCATCTCTCTCTCTCTCTCTCTCTATCGATCTATCGATCTCACTATATTCATATCAGTCTATCTCAGTCTGTTCACATCTATCATCATTTATGTATCAACCTGTCTCGGTCTTTTCATATCTATCTATCTATCTATCTATCTATCTATCTTAGTTTATTCATATTATCTATCTATGAAATCTATCTATCTATCTATCTATCTATCTATTTCTGTTCATTATATCTATCTATCTATCTATCTATCTATGAATCTATCTATCTATCTATCTCAGTTTGTTCATATCTATCTAATCTTATCTATCTGGAATCTATCTATCTATCTATCTATCTATCTTTTATTAAAACTTGACTAATGCATGGAATTCATAATGCAAAATAAAATGTTACTTGAGAATGTGTTGACTGAGTCGCCAGTCGGGGCAGAGTCTCTGGTTGAATCTCTTGATTATTTTCGTCTTGATTTACCAACCATATTTATATGGTCGGTACTCCACTATTAAATTAGGTGGATCCTACCACAACACTTTTCTCAGTCTGTTCATATCTATCTATAAATCTATCTATCTATCTATTAATCTATCTATCTATCTATCTATATTTTCTCAGTCTGTTTACTTAATATCTAAATATCTATCTATCTATCTATCTATCTATCTATAAAAAGGTATATTAAATATCTATCTATCTCGGTCTATTCATATCTATCTATCTTTCATCTATCTATCTATCTATCTATCTATCTATCTATCTTTTCTCAGTCTGTTCCCATCTATTCCTATCTATCTATCTATCTATCTATCTATCTATCTATCTATATATCTCGTTCTCTTCATTATTTACTATCTATCTATCTATCTGATTGTTATCGACTGGCAAAATAATAGACACAAGTTTAAGAAACAAATATTTTAACCATATTTTCGCGCGCACACACACACACACACACACACACACACACACACACACACACACATCTATCATGTTGATGTCTACGTGACGACTCCCCGCTCCAAACACTCTCCATTACAATGTTCGTGTTTACATGTCTGCTTCTAATCATTCTCCAAAAGGGAACTACACTCCTCCTCCCCTCAACCGACCAGTGTCCATTTTGCAAATTTAATCCGAACACCTCCCCCTCTACCCTCCACAAGACACTCAGCTCGTTTTTGAGCAGAAACCACCCACGCACCTATTCAGATAACACTTTACGTATTCTCCAGGGATTAACGCATAAATACCCCCCCTGTCTTTAAACAGGCTTTTCCTAACGAGCACTTCTCGCTTGTCAATTTAAACCTGTCGCTTCTGTTCATCCATCGGACTTTCGCTAATTGCATCTATAAAAAAAATTTTGACCCCTCTCATTTCCCCCCAATTCCAGCCTCTTTTAGGGGATTTTTCTTTTGTTCTCTCTTTTTGCAACCATTCAAAACGGCATTCGTTTTTTTTTAAATTCAATTCACACAGACTTTTGTTCTTTTGCTTAATCACTTTTCCCTCTTGTCTTTTACGGATTTTAGGCATTGGGTTGGAATTACTGATGGAGATTTTAATGACATTTCTTCCAAGTATACCATAGATGATAGCTTTACCATATTTTCTCTCTCTCTCTCTATATATATATCTATCTCTCTCTTAACGTTCTCTTTTTTCTTTTTCTTTTCTCTTTGCTTTTTAATTTCTATTTCTTTTCTTTTCTTTTTCTTTTCTTGTTTCTTTTCTTTTTTCTTTTTCTCTTTTCTTTTTCTTTTTCTCTTCTATTCTTTATCCATTTTCTTCCCTAGCATCTTAGAATACTTTATCTTCCTTCTTTAGTTCGTTAATCAGCATGCACTTTACACTCTGCCAATATCTCATGAATAATGGACTATTGTGTTTTGATCGGGTGGAAAAACGTAAAAGACATATCAGAAACGCTACTTTGTTTCAGCGAGAATAAAAGAAAGAAAGAAAGAAGGGAACATGGAAGTGTTTAGCGGCTGTTTCAGTCAAATGGAAAAAAAATCAATATTAAATCTTTTTATTTGTACCCCCTTACTTCTTAAAATAACGCCCAGAATTCATATTTATGATTGTTATTGAAATATTTTGTTAAAGTTGTTAATCTCAAATATTTAACGATACGATAGAGGAATTTCTACGGATATTTTATTGTCGTAGAACTCGCCATGAGCTTATTCAATCATTAACTGAAGAATTAAGATTCATCAGAAAATTCAAATTGGAAAACCCTGAAATTATCACGGGTCTTTCTAGTTTAAAATATTCTCCTTTTTTTTTTTAAAAAAAAGTCTTATATCCCCCTCTCTTTTCCAGAGTTCGTTCGTTCTTTCTTTCTTTCTTTTAATATCTTACGTACCGACCTTTATCACGGACCTCATGTCCTCCTGTCGAACACTCTTAATATGGAAACAGGCAGGGAAGCAAATCATTTTGTTCTATTTTGCCTGTTAGCATCTCACCCGTTCTTTATGTCCCTACATACTTCCATATTATTTTTTTGTCCGTATCTGCTTCCATATTTATTCCCGAGGCCAAATTCCTGGCATTAAATCAAATTTTCTTGCTTTTTTTTCTGTGCAAGAAAACATGAACAAAATGACAGCATATCGCTGCACGCCCCCCAATTAAAGAACATGATATCAAGGATGCACACTCTCTTTCTTCCCCTCTCTCATTACAGGCCAATTAAAACGATGACACACACGCGCACACATACATACATTGATACGCAATCACACATGTATATTAAATGAAAGCAACTCTCTTTCTTCCCATCTCCCTTATTTTAGGCCAATTAATGCAATTATGCAGATATAAACACACACACACACACACGTAGCGCGCACGCCCACTCACAAAAACACAGGTTTATTTTTGGAAAAAAAAATTACATTTCCTGTAATTCAAACTCACACACACATATATATAAACGTGCGCGTTTTTATTCCTACATAAACACAGGTATATTTTGGAAAATACACACAAACATACACACTCACACACACACACACACACACACACACACACACACACACACACATATATATATATATATAGATATTTAGAGAATAAGTGAGAGAGAAAGATAAAGAGAGATTTGGAGGAATATATTATATACTTATATATATATAATCTCACACTTTCTTTGGAGAGAATACATAACCTTCACACACACACACACACACACACATATATATATATATATATATATATTCTTGGATACAATACATTCTCCTGTACTGTTTGTAGTCTTTGTGCAATATGGTCTCAAAAAGTCATGTCTGTTATAGGCATGCAGTTCGTGGTCGTCAGAAAAAAAACGTCGAACTCGATGGGAAAGTCCATCAAATATATATATATATATATATATATATATATATATATTTTTGTGTGTGTGTATGCATATGTATATATATATATATATGCATATATATATATATATATATATATATATATATATATATATATTTAAACTCCCAGATCAATTCTGTGGACAAGAGAGATTCCTTACTATAAAGGTAATTTACATTAACCAGAAAAAAGGCTTAGACAGAAGCGTCTATCTTTTTAAATTTGGATTTTTTAATGTAACAAAAACAACAAAAACATTTCATTTTTGCCTTGAAAAAGTCGGAAGATGAAACTCGTCGGCAAAATCTAAGATTTTTTTTTCCAATTGTCATTTTATACCATATATATATATATATATATATATATTATAATTCAAAAAGCAATATTTACTAAAAAAAATAGTTTAATGAAACAATTTTCATAAAACGAAAATGTAGGGTAATATAAGGCATAAAACATTTAGAAAACCGACCTTCCTGCTACAAATGTTTCTACCAATTACGTATCATCAGGTAGTGAAATAGGATATTCCATCCGAAGACAATCTTATATACATGATCTTGCCACTGGCAAAGGGGAGAAACAACGAAATAAAGAAGCAGAAAATAGGCATATTTTATATAAATACTCCTACCCGAGTTAATAGCTTACTAAGAAGAATTTTCTAGAAGGTTTGCATGTTGTCATGATCTCCGATCTTTCATTAAGCAGTTTATGTTGTTTAGGGTATAACATACTTGCCAGTTTCGCCTCTTGGTATAATTTGCCCATTTTATTCCCAATGTTAAATGCAAGAGTTTTTCTTAACACATCTCATTTCACCAAGGGGCCTTTTGTTAAAGTTTCCTTTATTTCCCATATGTAACTAGCAAGTTTTGTGCTATTCTTGTGTACTTAAAGGAAGGTTTGTGATTATAATATCGCATTTTGAACGTTCCTTTCCTGAAACCAATATACACTTTTCTTAACCCTTCATAGGCTCTACTATAGCCCCATAAACAAGACCCTGCACTATTGCATTCTGTCAATTGCATTTTTTCCTTTTATTAACTTTCCGTGTTTCTCCTACAAATAAAAGGATAAATAAATAAATAAAACAAAATTCTCTAGACACTTAACGACATATTATGGTGCCAAAAGCTATCTTATGCTGTGACTGACCAGACGATGCGCGCACATGAATGCCATCGTTCACTTTGAAATGGATACCCCCACCCTACGTCGGTTTGACCTTTTTCTAAACGTGACTGAAATGTGGGTAAAAATTATCTTTCAAGCCCCTTACCAAAAGCGTCGCCCCAGCCGTTTCCATGTGTGTGTATGTGTGTGTGTGTGTGTGTGTGTGTGTGTGTGTGTGCACGTGGTGAGAACGTTCGATTTTTAATCATGAAACACGGGTTCGAATCTCACCATGGTCGATTTGTGAAAAAAGGTGACTTCCTGGTGTTATCGGTCTGGAGGAATCCGAAACAGCGTGCGGCACCTTTATACAATTTTTCTCTCTCTCTCTCTCTCTATATATATATATATATATATATATATATATATATATATATATATATATATATATATAGAGAAGAGAGAGATACAGAGAAAGTGAAATTTTTAAGAGACAAAGTGAGAAAGAAAGAAAGAGCCGGACAGATGACTGATATAAACTCTGATAATAAATCTAATAAGACACGTAAACCTACCAAAACATACGTAAACTCCCACATACACAGAGACAGACACTAACACACACATAAAAATAAGCACACGCACAAACACACACATACACTCAGAAAAAAGGCACACACAAAAGGCACCCATACACATACAAGGAGACACACAAACATACATACACTCACACAAACAAGGACATACAATTACACATACAAACACAGACACAAATAAAAGCACACATGCATATACATTCACAAACAAGCACACAAAAACAAATGCACACATACATACACACATATATACAAACAAGCACACACACAAACAAAC